TTTTTTTTTTGCACTGAAATTGGCGGGATTTCACTTTGCCTTTTGCAAACTTTCTCATCAAAGGAAAATATTCTTTGATTTATTTACTACTTTGAAATTTTTGCTACCCCTTTTTACCAATTTTTAAAATGGATTTTTCACTGGTCAGCTGATATATATTTTCACGTTTGCCAAAAACGAGATTCTAAACTCTCTCTAGATTTAATTACTCATAACTGAAGACTTGAAGAACTTACCGAAGTGTTCTTGAATGAGAGCTTCCTTGGTTATGTCGACACTCTTTTCATCCACTTAACCTTTGAAAATATGCTATCATTGATGGTGTTTAGTAATGCAAAAGTAGTAAGTATGTTAAGCCATGGAAGCTTTAAATGATTAGTTGTCAGTCGACAAGGACTTAAGAAAATCCACCACTGAAAAATATGCATACACAAAGACTTACCCAATACGAAAAGCTTCGCCGTTTAGCAGATTATATAAACCACAGTTTCATAGAAGAAAATTTTTCGCTAAAGGTGTTATCTTGATGTCCTGTAGTAGTTAAGCTGTTATAGTCCAATGTGTTGCAATTAAAAATGTATAGCCAAAAAAATCGTTTTCGGTGAAATTGGTGCTTCGTTTATCAAAAGAATCTGCCATCAAATATTCTTTAATGCGTTTGAAATCCAAAGTTCAAAATAAACAAACCCTTAAAGCTCTTTATTTTGAAACCAAAACTTTTCGACTTTCATTTATTTTCAATGACACAGGACAAAGGCGCCAAAAATTCCCGACCGACAAAGCTGCCGTTCTTTCACAAAATATATAAAATGTATAAACACAATATTTAAAACCTCTTTAGTTTCTTAGCGGCCAGTGAAGAAAATTAGAGAAACATTTACATACAGTTYCTTAATTCTTTCATAACGATGGCAACAAGAAAAGAAAGCTGCTATTTTTCGTGGGAAAATACTGCAAATTATTCTGGAAAAGTCGTGCAGCACGAAAATCTTACAAAATTAAGCTTTTGAACTTTAAACTGTGGGAAAATGTTAAATTTTAATTGTTATAGCAAAATGGTTTAGGCTGTATACACTTATTTCAATAAAGTTAGTCACCTGAAAAGCTATAAAGCTGAGGCCGACAAGGATTATGGATAGATTCCTTTTACACGTTCAAGCGCTTGATAACTGTTCATGGACTTTCGAATCTTTTACCCGTTACAGTCTCACCTCTTCTGAGTATCATCGAGCTGCAGTTTGTATTAAAAAAGCTTTGTATATATATATATATATGCTTTTTTGATATGAAAAGTTTCCCTTGATGCTCAGTGATCTCAGCTTTCTAGGTTTTTGGTGACTAACTTTATTGAAATAAGTGTATCAAAATGAATAGCTTATGTATTTCTATAAAGAGTTTCTCTTCAAAATTTCGTTTCAAGATTTTCCTCGATTTTAACTATCATGGAAAAATCTCCTTCATTAATTTAGAAATAAGCTTTATTCRAGGTACTTAGAATAAAAACTCCTCATATGTTCCATACATTTTAAGCTTCTGTAGTTAATTAACGATTATTAGTTATTGCAGCCCTGTCTCTCTCGCCTCAAATATAAAAATTCCATCTCAAAAACGAAAGTGCAAAAAATTTGTTAATTTGAATGAAAGATTTAAATGAAATTTATCACTCAAGTTCATGAAAGCTCGTTTTTATAGTCTCCTTAGGAACTCGCTGATCATTATTTATCACGGGGGAGGATAGGGGGGATTTGGGAGGATTTTTGCAGTAACAGCATAGTATAGAATATAATAAGTTTATTACTAGTTTCCATATCAATCACTTTTTTAAATCACTTTAATTTAAGTGTCTAGTCGTCCTAGCGCTTTCGCACTAATTGGGACACTTTTCGCTCACACGCACTACCACTACATTAAATGTTCTATGCACACAACACTCAACTCACATGTTGATTTTTACGGAGGGAGGAAACCGGAAAACCCGGAGAAAACCCTCGTAGAACAGGAGAGAACAACACATCAAACAAATTCAATTCACATGTGGCGACCGCAGGGCTCGAACCAACGACCCGACCCGTTGGACTCACAGCGGTGAAAGACGACGCATTAGCCGCGAACGCCACCCATGCTACCCAAATACCCATATACTTTTACCCTCCCCCTCCCCAGGCGATTAAGTAATAGCCGATCACCTAATAAAATCTAAGTAGCATGTGCAGTACTGGTTAATGAGATCGAACTGGTTAATATTGATCCAAAAGGTTTGTGTCGTAAATTTAATTTGGCACTCGAGTTCCAAGCTGCTTGTACGCACATTAAGGGTATGCTCAATTAATTATAATTGCTTATGGGCGCCATGTGTTTGATACTGACCAACTAAAAACGAACAAAAGAAATCCGGTGAATGAGATCGAAATGAAATTTGACACTCGATTTCTAAGCTATTTATTCGGCACATTAAAGTATGGATGACTCTTAAAACTCCAGTGTATGTGCACTTAGKCTCATTTCTGAGGTCGGTAAACAAAAGCGGAAATTAGAATGACAATAAACAAGCCCGCATCACTGGAATTTTAATAGTCGTAAATAATTTTAGACTTGAATATAAAGTTTCTCGCGCTGTGACTGGTCGAGTGACCAGAGATTCTGATAATCCCCGGGGGGGGGGGGTTACTACGCCAGGATTTGGGTGGGATTCTGAAAGGGGTACCCTGTTTATGATTAAAAAACTCAAATTTGTGGACCCTGTTAATGATAAAAGATATAATTTATTGCACTGAGTTCCTGTTTCAATAATCATGTCATCTTGCGTATCGTTTTTTTTTTGTTTTTTTTTTCCGACCATAATAACCAGTTTCGGTCAATACAAAAGTAGAATCCCTGAACATGACAGGAAGCTCAGGAAGAACTTGGAACTTAAGTAAAATTGCATACCCTGTTTATGATAAGAAGCTCGAAAAACCATATCCTGTTCAGCAGATTATCCCCGTATAGTCCATATATGGGAGTACCCCCCTCCCCCCGGGTGATAATCACTTCGCCTTCGGCAAATAATTGTTAACAACGGAATATGAAGTACTTCTATTTCGGCTCCTGTTGTTAAAAAATGATCAAATTGCAAAAAAATGATTAAAAATGACATTTATTTATGAAATAATAGACAAAATTGGCATTGTAATCACAAAATCAATTTCAAAAGCATATAGTATTCCATCCTTTAAAATCAAAACAGCACAGTGGTCCTTCTTGATGTTCGATAGAATTGGAACCAAAAGTGCTGGATTTTTAAAGAGAACTGAGAAAAAGCGAAGAATCTGGAGCAAAACCCTCAAAGTATTACGCGTATTGATTCATTAACTCATTTAAAACAGAACGAACCTTAGCTGATTAGAATCGATATTCTTATTACGTACATTGAAAAGAAGCGATTGACACTCCAGAAAAAATAATCTAGAAAATAATCGAGTGGGCACGAAATATGCAGCAAAATTCAAATCAACGTCTTCATTATCTTTCAAACTCAAAATCATCGTTTGAATATCTGGAAAGCGTAATTGTTTTTCTGTGTCTAAACATAAAAACTGGAGAGTTATTGTAGTGAACAACGATCAACTGTGTAGTTAATATGTAAGCGTACTAGTGCTTTCTTGTTTAAACAAAAGAATCCAGTGAGAAGGCATTTATTATTTATGTGGAATAAGGAAGGGCTAATTTTGAATATTTTTCGACCGACGAGATTATTTTCTTTTCCATCTAATTATCCTATRTRAGTGCAGTATAGGYTCTAAACTGATGGGKGAGGGGAGGGGAAGATTTGYTGAATACCACAGGTAGCCCAAGCTCTGTTTTCGGCATTCACCCAAATTCACAGAAAGCGCAAGCATTATATTCTTGTTTTCGGTAGCCTAACTACATAAAATATCTTAGGTATTCTTATGCAAATCATTACAATTAATTTCTTTGTATTAACTGAACAAAGTGTAAACAAGGCAAAAACGTGTGTGCGCTATAACTGAAAAAAATTGAACTGATCAACTTTCACTAGTTATATTTACTTGAAGCTTTCAAATTTAGTTTTATCTGTCATTTCCACCATTTTCCCGCCTATTATGGGTTTCCTGTGATATCTGCATTAGGTATCCTAATCCCCTCACCCCACTCCCTCTTAAAATTGCTGGATCGTCCCGAGCAGTCTAGTATACATCTATGTAGACATTTTTACCATGTCCAAAACACATACACTCATAGCAGGCAGCCAGGTTCCCCATACATTCGAGGCACGTACTCGAGACGTAACTCTCAGGGTTTTCCTTGATCTTGGACAGCAGTTTCTTGATCCCTTCAAGCTGCCTTTCATCAAACACCATCAGGTTCACTTGCGGCATAAAATAGTGACTACAGTGTTTGTTTTCCACGTAACCCAACAGGGTATCAACAAGCTTCTCGAAGCATTCATCCCGTTTTTCTTCGCACCAGGATTCAGGGTGGTTCAATTCTAAGGCCCAAAAGAGAGCAGTCTTGAGGTGATATGAGCTTAGTCCACCAGCACCAGGTGTCTGATGTTGTTTTATTGTCGCCTTTAGCGCCAAAAAGCATGCGCGCGCAACAGGAGGAATGTGCTTTGCCAATGAAAGCTCGGCCATAGAGTAAGACAACCTCCATTCATATTCTAGAAGGGATTGATTCTCATTCTGCTGGTTGTTTTTCTTCTTTTTCTTCTTTTTCTCCCTTTTCACCTTGTCTAGGGTCGGGTTTGAGGGCTTTGGAACCACGTGATATCCATACGTCATGATTTCGTCAACCACCGCTTGTGGTGGCCAAAATCGCTCCTCGCATGAAGGCCATTTGCGGGCTTCCTGTGGCCATTAAATGCATTTTATCGCGAAGATAAAATCACCATAGAATAAAGTTGGACGAAGGCTCTTAAACCTTATTGGCCCGTAAAGATTCTGTCTACGCTCTACTTTTACAGTAACGGCCGGGCCCTGAGCTTTGACATGGAAGGCGACGCCTTTTTCTGCGATCTTTTTATAGAAACCAAAATATCCTGTCACTTTCCGCTTGATTCGTTTCATCCCTTTCACAAATACGTTTCGCACCTAAAAGGCATAATTAATAAATATTATTTAACAATTAATTGCCAAAGGCGAATTGAGTATCGGGAATATTTAACGAGCCGCGAACCTACGGAGTACGAGACGCATACGGAGTACGGGAAGAGCATGCACAGATGTTTCGACTAATTTGCATACGGACGTAGAGCATGCGCAGACGTTGTTTCACTCGTGTCGCTGGTGATAGAGCTTTCCGTGGGTAATACCACTTGAACACATGAGGATTCACAGACTAATCAGGAAGGGTCGTGGTCGTGTCACAGCAAGGCATTCGCCAGATTATAATCACATTGTGTGAGAATTTAATCTCTATCCAATCAAATATCCGAAACAAGGCGCGGACACCGTCATGCCAAGATCAAGGCGCGCGCTACCACAACGGTAACAGTCGACCTTGAAGTTTTAACGTACAGTTATAGGAAATTGCCTACCTCGAAGGAGGAAAGATATAATCCTTTTGAACCATCAGCAAAAGTATACTCAACACAAAGATCCCTCCAAAACTTGTCACTCGATTCCTTATAATTTTGGTTCAGCTTCAACCACACGAACCCAGGTGTATTTGGCAAGGAAACGACGTCGAAGAGCGTTTGAGCTTGACTTGTCTTGGGATCTTCAGTCGCTGCTGCTAGGATTGTTTGGGGTGTTAACATCACATCAAAGTCAGTACTTAGTAATGATTTTATTGGAAGATGTTCAGTGTCGCAGGTTTTTGGAATGGTTGGCTTTCCAAGTCGTTCCTGTCAACAATAAAGCGGTATTCCGGACTATGAATTTAAGGGGAAATATTCCAGCTTATTTCCATGTTGGCGTCTATTTCGTCTCTTAAAACAGCCCCAAACTAAGACTATTTTAGTGACTCAGTCTCAATATTTTCGGCAAACCTATTTATCTTTTAATGTGTATTAACACGTCTAGCTTGCCACCTTAACTCGTCTAACTATTTGCAGCAACTCGTTTGTTATTTGCAGCAACTCATTTGTTATTTGCAGCAACTCGTTTGTTATTTGTAGCAACTCGTTTGTTATTTGTAGTAATTCGCTTGTTATTTGCAGCAACTCGTTTGTTATTTGTAGCAATTCGTTTGTTATNTTTGTTATTTGTAGTAATTCGCTTGTTATTTGCAGCAACTCGTTTGTTATTTGTAGCAATTCGTTTGTTATTTGTAGCAACTCGTTTGTTATTTGCAGCAACTCGTTTGTTATTTGCAGCAACTCGTTTGTCATTTGTAGCAATTCGTTTTCTATTTGCCCCAACTTATTTTGTAATCTTAGCAACTCGATCGTCAGTAACTGAATGCAGCAAATCAGTTGTTTTTTATTCACTGACAATGTGAAAGAATTAGCCCTAAGGTTGAGGATTCCACTATAAGTTTTGACATTGAGAATTCCATTTGCCAGGTAAGTTTAATAGTAAGCAATTTTTTATTTATTTTTAAGATAGCAGAAATATATTTTAAACTTATTCTTGATATTTATTCTACAAGCATATAATTGACTTACCACAAGACTTCCATGGGAATGACTGGAATGACTGTAAGTAAAAAAACGCTGCCGTTCGTACGCGGTCGTGTCACAGCAAGGCATTCACCAGATTAATCACACTGTGTGAGAATTTAATCTCCATCCGATCAAATATCCGGAGCTGCATTTCACAGTCGGATGAAAACTGCTCAAGATCAACTCAGTGGTTATCTGTGGGCGTGCCCTGACTTAGATCAGTCCAGAGGTTATTTCAGAGTTTGATCTGTGAGTTAGTCATGCCCTGACTTAGATCAGCCCACTAGAGGTTGCTTCAGAGTTTGATCTGTGAGTTAGCCATGCCCTGACATTGATCAGCCCACTAGAGGTTGCTTCAGAATTTGATCTGCGAGTTAGCCATGCCCTGACTTAGATCAACCTATTGATAATGTATCGATAAAATTAAAAGTTTGAAGAAAAGAAAATACAAAACTCACCACAAAAAAACCGACGATCGCTATCGGCCCAATGAAACGTGGGAATTTTTTTTCAGGTCGTACTTCGTGATCAGTTTGGTTCGCATACTTCAGTTGCACTGAAGTGCAATCAAATTTTTTTCCGAGCGTAACCTTCCGAGTCCCATTGATATAAAGCACACAAGATTCAATGTTGTTAGCAAAGTACACGATCAGAAACATGAAGATGCCAAAAGCACAAACCGAAGGAAAGAAGCATTTTAGCGCACGGCGAAGAAACATTTTTTCATTCAACAATCTGTTCTTCGGTTTCTTAAATGGCCATGGTCTCGTGATCCCTAATAATAATAATAATAATAATAATAATAATA